CCCACCCCACAAGGCACTCAACATCCCATTGTCTGTGTTCACCGGTTGTGTATATATGCATACAAGGTCATTGGTTGATCTCTTCCCACCAACCTCCCCTGCCTTCCCTCTGAGGTTCAACTGTCCAGGCTTCTATGACTCTGGGTCTCTTATTGATCATCAGTTTATTTGGTTCATTAGATTCCACATATGAGTGAGATCATGTGATACTCATGATACTGGCTTATTTTGCTCAGCATAATACTCTCCAGGTCCATCCATGCTGTTGCAAATGGTAGATTTCTTTCTTTTTTATTGACATGTAGTATTCCATTGTGTAGATGTACCATAGTTTTTTTTATTGACTCATCTGCTGATGGGCACTTAGGCTGTTTCCAAGTCTTAGCTATTGTAAATTGCGCTGCTGTGAACATAGGGGTGCATATATCCTTTCTGATGAGTGTTTCAGGTTTCTTAGAGTATATTCCTAGAAGTGGGAACACTGGGTCAAATGGAAGTTCCATTTTTAATTTTTTTGAGGAAACCCCATACTGTTTTCCACAGTGGCAGCACCAGTCTGCATTCCCACCAGCAGTGTATTAGGGTTTCCTTTTCTCCACAACCTCACCAACACTTGTCGTTGCTTGATTTGTTGATGATAGCCATTCTGACAGGTATTAGGTGACATCGCATGTTTTGATTTGCATTTCTGGGATGAGTTAGTGACTTGGAACATTTTTTTCATGTGTCTCTTGGCTTTCTGTATGTCCACTTTGTAGAAGTGTCTATTTAGGTCCTTTGCCCATTTTTTTGATTGGATTGTTTGTCTTCCTTTTGTTAAGTTGTATGAGTTCCCTATATATTTGGGAGATTAACCCCTTATCAGAAGTATCATTGGTAAATATGTTCCCCCATGCAGTGGGCTCTCTTGTTATTTTGATGATGGTATCTTTTGCAGTGCAGAAGCTTTTTATTTTCATGTAGTCCCATTTATTTATTTTCTCTTTAGTTTCCATTATCTTAGGAGATATATTGGTAAATATATTGCTACGAGAGATGTCTGAGATTTTGGAGCCTATAGTTTCTTCTAGGACTTTTTTATTTCACATCTTAAATTTAAGTCTTTTATCCATTTTGAGTTTATTCTTGTGTATGATTTAAGTTGGTGGTCTAGTTTCATTTTTTTGTTCACATGTACCTGTCCAATTTTCCCAACGCCATTTATTGAAGAGACTGTCTCTTCTTCAATGTATGCTCTTGCCTCCTTTGTCAAATATTACATGAGCATAGTGACTTGGGTCCTATGGGTCCTCTGTTCCTTTCCATTGATCTATATGCCTGTTCTGGTGCCAGTACCAGGCTGCCTTTGAATACAATGGCTTTGTAGTATAACTTGATATCTGGTATTGTGATTCCTCCAACTTTGCTCTTTGTTCTCAAGATTGCTGCAGCTATTTGGGGTCTTTTTTGGTTCCATATAAATTTTTGTGGTATTAATATTTGTTCTAGGTTTTTGAAATATGCCATTGGTATTTTAATAGGGATTGCATTGAATCTATAGATTGCTTTGGGTGGTATGGACATTTTAATGATGTCAGTTCTACCAATGCATGAACATGGCATATTCTTCCACTTGTTTATGTCTTCCTCTATCTCTTTTTTCAAAGTCCTGTAGTTTTCCGAGTACACGTCTTTTACCTTCTTGGTTAAGTTTATTCTTAAATATCTCATTTATTTTTGTTGCAATGGTAAATGGGATTGTTGTTTTAGTTTCTCATTCTCAGAGTTCACTATTGGTATATAAAAATGCTATGGATTTTTGGGTGTTAATTTTATATCCTGCTATATTTCCGAATTCATTTATTAAAGCTAATAGTTTTTTGATGGAGTCTTTAAGGTTTTCTATGTAGAGTATCATGTCATCTGCGAATAATGAGAGTTTTACTTCCTCCCTTCCAATTTAGATGCCTTTTATTTTTTCTTCTTGTCTGACCACTATGGTCAGGACTTCCAGTACTTTGTTGAACAAGAGTGGTAAAAGAGGGCATACCTGTTTTGTTCCTGTTCTTAGGGGAAATGGTTGTAGTTTTTGCCCATTGAGTATGATGTTGGCTGTAGGTTTGTCATATATGGCCTTTATTATGTTGAGGTATGTTCCCGCATTCCCACTTTTCTGAGAGTTTTTATCAAAAAAGAGTGTTGGATTTTGTCAAATTCTTTTTCTGCATTGATTGATATGAACATGTGATTTCTGTCTTGTAATGTTTATGGGCTGTATCACATTTATTGATTTGCAAATATGGAAACAACCTTGCATCCCTGGAACAAATCCCACTTGGTTATGATGTATAATCTTTGTCATGTATTGCTGGATCCAGTTTGCTAAAATTTTGTTGGCGATTTTAGTGTCTATGTTCATCAGGGATACTGGCCTGTAGTTCTCTTTCTTTGCCATCTTTATCTGGTTTTGGAATCAGAGTGATGCTGGCTTTACAGAAAGAGTTGGGAAGATTTCCTTCCTCTTGAATTTTTTAGAATAGTTTGAAGAGTTGAGGGGTTAGTTCTCTTTGAATATTTGGTAAAACACCTCTGCAAATCCA